GGAGCCGGAGGAGTGAGCCAGTGAGGCTCCTGCCACACCAGAACCCAGGCGGGCAACCAGGGCGGAGCCAGAATCCTGTCAGGCAACATTGGTGGGACAGAAATCCCTCTCAGCAACTCGGGAGTACCTGAAAACAAGAGCAGAGAGAGTTTAGTCCCAGCCTCAACAGCTGCAACAGGACAAGCCGATTGCTCTGCAACGGTCCCTGTGAGCTCCCGGACTGGAGTGACTTCCTTAAAGAGCTCTGAGAGCTCCTGAACTGGAGCAGGCTCTAAAGTGGACCTTGTAATCTCCCGGACTAGAGCGGGCTCTGAAGTGGACTCTGTAGGCTCCTGGACTGGAGTGACTTCCTTGATGAGCTCTGTGGGCTCCCGGACTGGAGTGACTTCCTTGATGAGCTCTGCGAGCTCCCGGACTCGAGCGGGCTCTGGAGTGGGCTCTGCGAGCTCCCGGACTGGAGCGGGCTCTGGAGTGGGCTTTGCGAGCTCCCGGACTGGAGTGAGCTCCCGGACTCAAGCGGGCTCTGGAGTGGGCTCTGCGAGCTCCCGGACTGGAGTGGGCTCCCGGACTCAAGCGGGCTCTGGAGTGGGCTCTGTGAGCTCCCAGACTGGAGCGGGCTCTGGAGGGGGCTTTACTGTCCTCCTTCTCGCCCTCCACTGCTTAGTGGGATTCTGAAGGATAGAGGTGGTGGGAAAATCCTTGCAGAAGGGTTCTGATTGGCCTGGTATTGCCCACTGACTGGAGATATTTGATGAAGCCCCAGAAGTCTAGGATCTCAAGTCCTTCCACCTCCCACTGGGGCAAAGGATTATCCAGACAGATGTTAAGGAGGTCCTTAAGTGCAGCCTCATTATAATTCAGACCCAGCGCCAATGTCCAAAAGGTCTTGGCAAAACCACCAACCTCCATTCCTTGCTGCCTCCGAGCCATCAGAGTTCGGTATCGAGCCATTCGCTTTTTCCCTGTGACAGGAGGGACAATCCGAATGTCCATAGTTCAAAAATAAGAAAAACAAACTGTTGGATCTTGTAGTGGCTGTAGTATTCTGTCACAGAATGCCAGGAGAAAACAAGGTAAGATCCAAGTGCAGTTTATTAAAGTAACAAATAAACAGAACAGAACAAAAACGTGGCAAAAGGTAATCCAAAACACAGGGAACAGATAACACGGTCTAAACTTAAACAACATCAAACATCAGATAACAAATACAATACTGCAGCAACGACAGACAGAGTGAGCATGGAATATATAGATGGGATGATGAGTAAATGACCAACAGCTCATCATGATCTGAAATGACTAACAGGTGATCATGATCAGAACAGAAATGACAGGCAAGGGACTATGGGAAATGGAGTTCAAAACATATAACAGAAACGGGAGAGCGCCCTCAAGTGGCCAGTCCAGGGCACCACAACCAGACACTGTGACATAATGATTATAAAGTCTAATATTTCACGAAATGCTCTTCTCTGCTCTTAATTTCTCTAGCGAACTAAGCTGTGGACACATGACTTGCCTGAGGTAAATGAAATGCTACGTGACATTTTGTTTACAAGCTGCTTTATTGACGTCTTTCCGTGGTCGAAACACTGATTGAGCGATTACATGAGGCATGAGATGTTCTTTCATGTTTATTTCACGTTAAAAATAGTAGTAAAGAGGTCGCCCTGTCATTTGAACTGAGGTGTTTATACAGTGATCTGTCACCCCACATTAAAGAACGGCAAAACGGCATTTATTGTTTGAATTTCCTGAAAAAAAATGACATAATTTGAAAGATGAGACTTTGTTTCTTATCAAAAGTAACACTATAACTGTAAGTTTACAATGAAGTTCCACTCATGCAGTAGTTAATACAATGCTGTATTTGTTCGGTACACATGAGTACCAAACCGAAAGACCCGTACCGAAAATTTTCGATCCGAATGCATGTACTGTTACACCCCTACTAACCACCACAATAATCATAACAACTGTTTAACACCTATCCCCAAATTAACATTAATGTGATGTAAACATGCCATGTATTCCTCTCTCTCTCCTGTCCTCCTGGCTAAGTGCTTCCTTGATAAATTAAAACTATTATGCAGAGTGCTGGGATTTGCTGCGTGACATGCTTCACTTCCTGCATCTTAGAGCCCTGCTATCCAGCCCATCCACACCCACTATAGATGCCTCTGTGGCACTGATGTTTACTCTGGCCCTTGCAGCTATGCCCGATTCTTCTCATAAAGAACTTAACAAGCAGATAATGAGTTGAATCAGGTGCACCAGTGTGCTGCTGAGGGACAGGAAGCACACAAGTCATATGCCTGTTGGAGGTTCTCAGCATTTGATGTTTAGAGCTTCATTTGTATAGAATGTCTATTGTGGCTCAGCAGTGATGTTTCGGGGATTTTGCATTGATTGTGTTTGTTTAGAATGCCAGTCACAGAGCAGTGCTCCTCTGGTTTCCGTGCATGCACAGACATAAGATGTCTCAGACGT